CATGTTTCATCCGTTTAGTCCTTTGCTCTGCTAGGAAGTAGAAATAGAAAACCCCAAAACCAAGCCACACAAGACCATACAAACCCAACTGTTTGGGATCCACAGAGCACCATGCACAAAGGTGCTGCTTCTTTACAAAAACATCACTTTTCTAAAAGTTGGCAAAGTTATTTGCACATATGTGAATGCAGTTGAAGTGAGAGAACAAGATAGGATTTACCTTTTTCTTGTCTCCTAATATCTTGCCTAGTTTTTTGATGTATTTGTTAAAAAACAAAGTGTTTTATTCTCCTCTGAGTTAGATATATGCATCCTGCACAGGATTTTTTTGAGCTTTCCCTCTTAGTGATCAGTCTTAAATTCAAATGGAGTTTATGTTTATAGCTGCTGAGAATTAAGGCTGAGGTTCGAATGTCATATTTTCATATGTTTTTAATATCAAAATCAACATGCTTTTTTTTTTTGAAAATCAGTCATATGATAGAGGACTGTGTGACTAGTATACATGGTTAAACTGAGCCTAAATCACAAAAAAAGCTGCTCTTTCTGATACATTTGTTTCTTCCCCCCATATTCTTATAAGAATAAGGAAAAATAGCAGGGTACAAAAACATTGCATCTGTGAGTAACAAAACATTACCTCAGAATTTGGAACGTTTCTTTTTATTTCCCAGGACTGAAAAATGCTGCAAATGAGAGGAATTGTGTCATTATTGATCAGCTATTAAGTAGATAGGGCTTTTTCCTAATAGCAGCATTTTGATTTAGATGTCTTGGCTTGACACAGCACTTTGCTGTTCATTCTGTGTGTGTCTGGTCTGAATTCCTGAGGGTTTCCTGACCACAGAATGCAGCCCTTGACAGGCAACATTCCCACCAGCACCATTTGTGCTTCCCAGAAATGCTGGCATTAAGTTCCTACATGGATAATCACAGATCCCTGTTCTTTAATGAGCTGCTGCTTTTTTATGCACTGGGACTATTGGGGAACTTGTTGCAGGAGACTGAGGCACTGGGTCCCTCTGTTCCTGAGTATTTTTGCTCTTATTTCCACTGTCAGTCTGTCCCTCAAAACTGCTTCCTGCTGCATTTTTGTTTCCAATCTCCACTATTTTTTCTCCTTTGATCTGTAAGAAGTGCTAAACTTCACTTGTAACTCCTTCCTCTGCTGCAGATTGCCAAATTGAATTCATTTGAGCTACCTTCCTGCTCACATCTGTTTTCTGAAAGATTTTCATCACTGCCTGGATGGTGGATTCTTGAAATTCAGCCTAAGGAACCAATTCTTCGTGTAGCATTTTGGGGATTAGATATTAAAAAATGCATAAGCCACAAATCTCTTTTTGTGATTCACAGCAGAGGCAGTGCATGTTTCCCTCTGAATCGATTGCAGATTTCTTCAGTCCCACTTTATACCTGACTCTGAATTTGTTTTAAGCTCTTATTTTATAAATGTATAAGGGCTATGATAATTTGTCATTTCTCTAATTTTAGCTATCTCCAGAACTGAGATCAGGCCTATTAAAACTGAAAGTGTTTCGTTAACAAAAGCACATTTATTCCTGACAGCTCCACAAAATCAGGGTCTCCTCTGAACCCCTACTCAGACTTCAAGCCTTTATGCTCTGCTATATGTGACAAAAGCTTCAGGGCTATTCCTGTGCAACACTATAAAAAAATGTTGAGAGATTAATCTCTCAGAACTTTGTCTTAGGCATGGGGGTGTAACTGCCTTGATGAATATTATAATGATATTTTCACAAAAAATAGCAACCTAAACCACAAGTGTTAAAAATAGTCAAAATCTTGGGTAGGTGATCTTTCATAGTGGCAAGTTCTCCCTTAAGATCTATCAGGTAAATGATTCACATATTTCAAGCTGTCGTAGCAGCTACTTTTACCAAGCAATTCGGTGGACATCTATTGGAAAAGGAGGAAAGGGAGAATATAACATAAAAAGGTTGACACCACAGGTCCCAGACCTTTTTTTTTTTTTTTAATAAACTGCAGCAGTGAGTTAAATATCTCTGAGTTTATTCTTACTCAGAGTTTTACAATAGTGCTTAAGATCAACGTTTGAGCTGTTTTTTAGTTCCCACAATTTTATATCCAGAGATTTGGAAGAAGGATTTCTACTGCCTGAGAAAGGACCTTTGCCATTATTCAAATAAAAGAGTTTATTGGATCCTAAGGGAAGGTCATCTTACTGATGTTGCTCAGATAATGGCAGAAATTGGTCTGAAAACCTACAGCTTAACTATTTGTGACCTGTGTTTTTGTGTATTATCCCCAAACATTTTTCCTGGTTTCTCGGTTTTGTTTAGTATGAAAACAATTGAAACAAATTTTTTGCTTAGAAAATGAAAACCTCTGTTATTCCTGAGAGGGCTGCATTAACTTTTTTCAATATTTGAAAAGATTCTGGGATGAAGGCATTCTAGATGGATTGATGTAATTTTCATATCTTGATAGGAATTATATTAAAGAGGCAAATTACAGGATACATGGATACATTTATGGCAGTGAAGCCCTGGGAGCTGTGAGAGTGGCTTTGGAAATTAAGCCTCAGAAATCAGTTGGGAATTCTCTGAAGGGCTTATTGAGCACTTGATCAAGGGAGGTTCATGAATTTCCTATACTTGGATTTTCAGCAAATTCTTCTTGGGGTCGTTTCACAAAAACTCTCAAGGAAGCAGAACTGTCCTGAATAAAAAGGAAATTTATTTCACGAGTTTAAAAACTGGTGAAAGGATAAGAATCAAATGCCACTTTCAACATGGAGAAATTAATTTCTGAGTTCCACAAGGATCTATGCTGGGACCTAAGTTATTAAGATGATCTTGGAAATTGGGGAAAGGGATAAGGTGGATGAGTTTGCTGATTAGCCAGGGCAGTGAAAAGGAGCATGTGAAGAATTGCAGGAAAATATTCCCATCTCAACAATTGACTCGATGGTGAAGCAGCAGCTGAAAATCAGTGCAGGTGAGCACAAAATAATGCACACAGGAAGAAATGATCCTAAGATAAGAATAGATAATAGGTAAGAATGTGTCTAATTATCAGCACTCAGGAAGGAGATCTCAGAGCCACTGTGGTCAGTTTGCTGAAGATTTCTGTACAGCAGTGTCAAAAATGGTAACTAAATGGAAAGAACACAGAATAAACCAGGAAACAGTGCCCTTGTGCACCTTCCTTGGGTACCTGTTCCTTCCCTTTCAGCTGAGACAGATGGGAAATGTGCTCCAAGGGCTGGAATCATATCTGCACAAGGAATAAGTCTTCATTCTGTCAGGGGAACAGGACAGGGCCCTGTCCCATCACAGCTGGTGGCACACAGACATGGGGAAGGTGCACTCAGTGTTTGCTTTTAATCACAGCTGCAGAATTAGAAGCGTGAAACAAAATGAAGTAAGGTATTTAAGACCCCAGAAGAGCTTTTCACACAAGACATAATTAAATTTTGGAATTCATTGACATAAGAGATTGCATGTGCCAAAGGTTCAATATATTCAAAAATCAATTACTCATAGGGAAAAAAAAATTCCATGGATTCTTCTTAAGCACAAAGAAATCCTGAGCCACAGGGTAGGTCTGGGAGAGTTTAATAAGATAATCACTCCACATACTTTTTCTCATTATTTTATTAAGAATGCCCTACTAGTTATATAAAATGTTACAGTTGGACTCTTAGTCTGAAGCCATATGTCCATGCTTAAAGGAAAACAGAATTATACTTGTTTATATCTGAGATTTGGCCAAAAAAAATCCGAGATGAACTCTGCAGTTTTCATTCATGTAACGTATCAATGACCCCAAGAGATGGTGAATGTGTTGAAGTGTTTATACAGAGTTAGAAAAAAGAAAATTGGGATGCTTTAAAAAATTAAATATGTGTCAAAAATGGTATGAATTTGGAAAATAACAAAATATTCTTCCCTGAATCTATCTTATTGTATTTTGAAAGAACTCCTCTGGGGTTGCTTGTTTTTACTGATGAACTCATAATTAAGCTACTAAAAGTAGGAATTTATTTGAAAGGCATATTTACTTTCCTGTGGGGGATAGCTACTTCCTTTCTTTTGATAGTGTATTAACATGTGGCCACTTCATCTACAACGTGTCAGAAAACTGCACAGTAAAAATATTCACACAGAATGATGGGGTTGGAAGAGACCTTCAAGATCATCGAGTCCAATCCGTGCCCTAACACCTCAACTAAACCATGGCACTGAGTGCCACATCCAGGCTTTTCTTAAATACATCCAGGGATGGAGACTCCACCACCTCCCTGGGCAGACAATTCCAGTACTTGATCACTTTTTCCAAAAATCCAACCTATATTTCCCTTGGCACAGCTTGAGACTGTGTCCTCTGGTTCTGTCAGTGCTGCTTGGAGAAGAGACCAACCCCACCTGGCCACAGGCACCTTTCAGGGAGTTGTAGAGAGGGACAAGGTCACCCCTGAGTCTCCTTTTCTCCAGGCTAAACAACCCCAGCTCCCTCAGTTTGATCATTTTTGTTCATTTATATTTTAAGGCAAAATTCTAGTAGGACCCCAGTTGGTCTATGAGTTACAGAGGATTAATGAATGAGGATCGTTTAGAGAAGTTTTCTCTGACCAAGGCTGTTGGCATGGAGGTCAAGAGAAGAGGAGAGAAGATAACCAGAGAAAAAAACCCCACAGCTGTGGAAAGTATTTTTAAAAAGGTCCTGGGAAGAATAGAGGTGGAGAACTTTCCACCAATGACTGCTATGTTGACTAATTGTGAGAAATAAGAAATTGTAAATTATATGGAGGGTATAAAAGGTGGTGTGTTATTGTAATAAACGGGATATTATCCTCCTGAAGTGAGGCGTGCCTTTTGTGTGTCGCGCCTGCCTATCCAGCGACACCAAATCAGCGATTGCAACGTACCCCGCCTTTCTAAAGAGAGTTAAATTATTTTGGTTGAATATTTGTGACCTCTGTTGGCTCAGAGCTGTTTGTATCCCTTGAGCAGTGGCACCCAGCTGGTGACATCGAGCGGGGACACCACGGTGAGGATCTGGGACCTGTCGAGGCGCGGCTGCATCCTGACCCTGCGGGGCCATTCCCGTGCTGTCCGGGGCTGCTCCTGGCACTCCTGCGGGGACTTCGTGGCCTCTGCCTCCATGGATGGCACCAGCAAAATCTGGGATGTTAACAGGTGTGTATGGAGGCTCCGTGTTTGTTAATTAATGCCTTCGTTAATAACCAGTTGTGTTTTAGCTCCCCATCGATTCGCGGGGTTCGCTCGGAGAACAGAGGGAAATCAAAGGCAGTGCTGGAAAAATCAGCCTCTGGCGGGATTTGCTAGATAAAGGGAGCTAGCAAGGACTTCAATTAATACAATAAAAGAGAAAGTATTTGCTTTCACTTGGCATCTGTTATTCTTCACTGCTGTTTGTTTTTTTTTAAGGTAAGAGCTTCATAACTAACTTTTCATAACTTTTATTCAATATGTAATATGAATAAGTAACTGAATAAAACTTTCAGAAAGTTTTCTATTTACTGTTTCAAACTCATAAGTGCACAACACACTTTAAGGTTAGCCAAGTGGAAATTTATTTTAGTCATTATCTATGTTTCAGCAAGGTGACTCTTGATTAATAAATCCACAGATACCTTCTTTATTATCCAGGCAAATGCATTTTTATGAAGGTGCTTTTGAAATATCAGTGTATTTGTGCTTACCAATTAATTATTAGTTCCTTAACTCTCTCCAATTGTCTTCAGTTTTGATTAACTTAACACCTTAAAGAAATGGAATGGATTTATCTCTTTCCAAACTATCTCTCTATAAACTAGACTCCTGAATTACTGTACTGTACTAGGTGTGATTTTTAACAGCTGAATGTCATCAGGGCCCAGAGAAGTTTCCAGTCCTATAGATCTGTTCCCTGGTCCTTTATTATCCAGTCTTAATGGATTTTTCCATTTCCTATCAGTCTTTTTCTTCCTTTGCATTTGAATGAGATAAAATACCCCATCATGATTGTTGGCCACTGCAGGGGAAGAAGCTTCACTGAAAAAGCAAGGGAAAATTTCTTCTTCTGTTCCTTTTTCCTAAATCCTTCCCAGTCTATTGCAGTTGCAGTGAGCCCTTACTGGAAACTTTTCAAACTGTTGCAATTCATCCAGGTTCCATTGAGAGTTAATTAAAACTCTGTCAGTATCGGATTTCCAGTCTTGCTTTCAAACCATGAATTGAGGAAGCATTAAATGATATTTAAAATATTGTTTCAAAATGGGATACCTATCTTTTAGTGAATTATTCTAAATTATTTTGGAAAAAAACCCAAACTAGTTAAGTTTTTTTTGAAGTTCAAGCCAGCTGAGAGGTGGCTTTTATAATAGAAATGGTCAGCCAGTCCTGAGAACAGATGATGCCTCCACCATTACTATCAGTAATAAGCATTAATGGTTAATATTTTCCTTAGAAATAGAAACAGCAAAAATCTCATGTATGGTTGCCTCTTTTCTTATAACCTGTTGTATATTTCTAATGCTTTGATCATATTTTATGGCATATTCATGACCTTTAAGAAATAATAACAATAGCTTTAATTTGGTGTCAGGATGGGTTTGAATTTGCATAGACAAAGGTTTTGTTTAGACAGTTGAAAATGCTTTCTCTGCTGAGGAAGGTTTTGTAGTCAGAGGAATCAAAGCAAACCTTCACCACCAAGCCCTGGTGCCTCCCACTCACACTCATCACCAGCTCCCATTTCTGCCTCCAGTCTATGTGAGCTGTGCTTTGCCTGTGAAAATAAGAGAGTAACATCCCAGCCATGATGTGAAAGGCTGACTATCCGTGCAGAATCATTGAAACACCAAAAATTATGCAAAATCTCAGGCAGCAGGAAGTGGTATAAAAATCTGACATAGTGTGATTAAAATAAGGTGTATTCAGAGTATGGGAAAAAAAAAAAAAGCCCCTATGGGAGTCCTCACTGCTGGGTTTTTGGTGTGTTCCTAGATTTGGGTTGTTAAGATTTTATATATGAGAGCTGTCTTTCCTCCTTATGGATGCCTGTTTTCAAATTGAATGGGCCTGGAAAGCAGCAGACTGTAGGGGAAGAAAAACAAGAAGGATATCAGAGTTATCACTGCCACCTCTCTGAAAGAGCTATGTTTGAAATAAATACTACAAATAAAAATACATCCATTTCTATAGTAGGTGACAGTTGTCTTTTTATTTCCAAGTTTCAAAAAAAGCCACCTTTATACATTAGGAACATACTTTTCTATAAATGTTGCTTTTGGAAAATATACAGCATTATATGTAGTCATAAACTTGGTGTTGAGAAACTGGGGAGGCTGTTTGCTATCTCTTAGCACCCAAATCCAAGGTGCAATTTGCAATCATCAAAGCCCTTATTGAAATCCAAAGAGAATATAAGATGAAGAATATAAGATCTCTTGACTAGGAAAAGGTTGCTAGCAGCTTTAGTAAATTACATAATTCTTTGCCAATGATGAGAAAGTTCTATCTACTAAATATTTGAATTTTATTTTCTTATAATGTGAAATTACTGCTGGGGTTTTTGTTTGTTTGGGTTTTTTTATTTATTCACAAATGTTTTTCTTTTGTATATACTGAAAGTTTTAATCATTTATCAAGCCACAAATGACATTCCTACCAGGAGGGTATTGTGAGGTAGCTTTGTAGTAAATTACTTTCTTCTGGACAGCTTATGTGCCTTCTATTTAAAGATACAAGTTAATTTTAAAAATCAAAACAGAAAGCAAAGAAACAAAAATCCAAAGCTCTTCCTTCTTCCCTGGAAACACAAACACAAACTGAGACACAGCCATGATCTGACTTATTGAGGGACTTGAGAGAGTCTGAGTTCTGCTGTGGGAACTTCCTGATGCTTTCTGCTGGGATGATTGGTTGCTTTTAAAGGAAATGAAAAAGAAAATGGTGTAACATTGGGACAGGGGGTGCAGGAAAGAAAGTTAACTCGTGTGTCTGCCATGGCTAGAAAAATTTAAACCAAAACAAACCAGCAAAACAGGGACATATCTGCTACCTTCAAAATTATCCCCACTTCTTAGTGATTATGAAAATAGGAAGTTGGAGAAGAAAGGGAGAGGTTTCTAATTTGTGGCCAGGATTTTATTCAGCAGCATAGCTCAGGTTGAAAATACACAACCAGTTATGTTCTAGCACAGCAGGCAGTTCCAGGGTTTTTTTCTCACACCATAAATTCAGCACTGTCAAAGTCATTTTGGCAGGATTAATTTCAATTATCCAGTGGTAAATATCATCAGAGATTTACAGCCTGATCTCTGATATGCAAATCAAGCTGAGCATCATATATCTCATGTAAACACAGGCAGTTGTTTAGCTTTGCAGACATATGCTCTACACCCAGTGTTAAATGCAAACATTGTTATTTATGCTTTGAGCTCGAGAAGTTGTTTGCAGCAGTCAGAACAGTCAGAATTGGTTTTCTCCACTTGATCCATTCTGCACTCATTAGACCAGTTCTCCATTCTTTGCTTCCTTTCAGAAGTACAAAATATGTGGAATTAGGCCAGCAAGAAATGCAAATGTGCTGTCCTGCAGCAGAGCCCAGGATGAGGGTGTTTGTGAATTGGAGCCATTTCTCCATAATCCATCACTCATTTGCTTTCCTTTTCCATTAACGTGGCAATTTTTGTCTACTCACAGAAATTTCTCCCATAATCAAATTTTATTTTAAAATTTTAAAACGTGTGTTTACCTCAGTCTTCAGTAATTTTTAGTCTCCATTGGTGCATTTGCTCAGGTGCAAATTTTAGAAGTGACTAATTGTGATTCTTTTCAATTCTCCTGTACAACCTCTAGGATAGTTTTCTGTTACTGTTAATGAGGTTTATTTCCAGATCTAAAAATAAAAATTGTTGACACCTTTTGCTTCTCTGCAACAAGACTGGACATTTTCACTTCTTTGCCCAAGTGTCAGATGTATCTGACATTAATTGCTAGTTCAAATAAATAATTCCTTCTTTTGCTCCTCTATTAAAATGATCTCCTGTTGTGACTTTTCTCCACTTGGTAACTGCTGTTTATAGTTTTGTTTCTTCTCATAAGAAGCATTTAATTTTGGAAAATTTAGGGTTAATATTTTAAGAAGTCAAGCAGGGATGGATTTTGTTGCATTAGAAGCCCTTTGTCAGCTACAGCTTTCCTTGGAATGATTGCATGGAGTGATACCATGTAATGATGGCACTGCATTTGTTTTCTTAATTTATAATATTTATTTTGTATCATTGTTTACACCTTGAGTGTGTGCAGTGCAAGACATGATTAAGTTGATTTTAAGCTGCTGTTATGCTTTGGGGTGTTTTGTTTATTTTTTCTTTAGTGATTGAATGTTGCTGGAGTTGCCAAGTGGACTGGTCACACTCTTTGCTTTGTATCACCAGAGCCCAGGGTTTAGCCTGGCTTCTCCTGACATCCATACTCTGTTTCTTTTTCTTTCTTTTCCCTTAAGCAATGAACAGCTTTGAAAAGCAATATTTACTTGCAGATTTGTAGGTTCCTTTCACCACACCAAACGCATCCATATCAGGATCCTGAAAAATCACCTCTGAAGGAACCTAAGGATTTTCTAGTTTCAAAATGGAGCTGAATTTTCACATTTTGAATCAGGTTGAGTGTATGTAGCCAGTCCTTGTGCAGACACCCCATTTGAGGTGACACTTGTCTGACTGGCTGTTCAGTGGGACACAAGCCACAGGCTCTTCTGGCCACATCCCAGGTTTAATTGATTCCAGGAAAAGTGGAGCTAATCTATTTTCAGAGAAGACAAATGTCCTCCAGGAAATTAGAAGGCAGGTAGAAGAACTCAGAGGAAATGTGGAAGGACCATTTTTGGGTAGTTTGTAATGTCTCTCCTGACAGCACAGCAGGAAATACTTGCCATTTTGATAAAGGAGAATTCCCTTTGGAATCCTCCAAGGAGCACTGGAGAGACAAGCTGCTATTAATCCTTCAAATCAAAACCAGGCCTATGCCCAAGTCTCCAAATTTATAATTATGCTACAATTCCATAACACATTTCTCAGGATCAGGAAAGTAAAATATCTCATTGTTATAAATCCCAGGGAGCCAATTGTAAAAAATCAATTTGAAAATGCGAATTATCAAGGAAAAAATGATATTCAAAGCAGAGC